GTAGTCACTACTAGAGTGTTTTGAATTTCATACATAGGGATATTTACCCTTTTTTACTTAAAAATAATTTTGTGGCTTTACTTCCCTTATTGGTTCATATACTTTAAATTTGACATTTTAATAGACACACCACTTACAGATTAAAGAGCTAGTACATATTGGTTTTGGTTTTCCCTTGGGAAATCATGAAAAGTGAATTTTTTACGTAACTTTTTTCCCAGAATCATGGAAGACACATTTCCTTTAGATAACCTTCCAGCAGGTAATAGGGCAGCAGTGGGATTTAATTACTATTTATATTACAGAAGCCCATAGATACACAGTCCTGGTTACAGGATCTCACCGTGGTAGCTGCTGTTGAAACCCAATTCTTTCTTCATTCTCAAGATAAGCACCTCCTGGGCCATGGCAGTGCAAAATACCCCATTCTTCTCCAGGTTGCCCTAGAAGGCCGTGCTATTGCTGATTGTCTGGGCAAGATAAGCTTACAATGTGTTTCTCTCGTCTACAGAAGGCTGACAAAAAAAATTTAAGCTGGGAATCAAGTGATAACTTTCGGTCACCATCATCATGGGCAAGATTTGAACTGGTGTCTGAGATTGAAACATGCTAAATTCCACCATCGGCCACAGTCCTCCAAGCTGTACAATGAAAAGAAAAATAGAAAAAAAGAGCTATTTTCTGTTGTTTGGTCAGCGTGCTTTCAATGTGAAAGAGTCTGCCTAGCTGTGGCAGTGAGCAGCTTTGAGGTAATTGCTGTTTTGTGTTTCAGTTCAGAGACAGACGTTAAAATGAATCATTGGCTTCTGTTTCTGTGTTCTGGGCTGGCCCCTCTGCATGTACAGTTTTATTGGTTTTAAAGGGACTGTGTACTGGCACAGCTGCTCCCAGTATAACAGGACACGCAGCATAGAGGGAAACATTCCCACATATATTCCTGGTAAAAGTTTGGTGATTTTATATACAATTTAAGCAGTTAAGTCCTATAATAGCTTTAACAGCAAAATATACAAAATAAGATAGTTCCTCTAGTGATTATACAAGATACTTGGTGTTTACATTTGTACGTATTGGTGGGTTTGATTCAATGCATACTTTTTAAGGAGCAGCCTTGTTCTGAGGCTTCAGTTTTTTCTTCTTTTATGTCTCTTTTCCATTTACTTTTGAAATCTATGCGAGTCTTGAGCACTGTTTTAGTCTGCCATGCATGGGAGAGGTATTAGCCCAAGTTCTGCTGTGGGAACTCTCCATGCTTCAGCTGCCTTTAATAGGATCACACTTCTAAAAAATAAGTCATATACTCATATAAAAATTTAGATAGAAAACCAAATTACATCAGCAGTGAAAAATCATACGACTGAAACATCAATTCTAATTTAAAAGCATTTCTTGAGACAATGCAAAATGTAATTCTATTGCCGAAGTGAGGCAACGCTGTTCTGGGACAAAACTAATATAGAAGTCTGACAAATATTGTTAATAATCCACTGATATGTATAACTGATGAGAACAGTGTTGACAGCACCATATTGCAAAGAAGAATAGTGGCCTGATGGGAACATTACAACCCCCTGGTAGAAACAGGTACGAGTCTCTAATGCTGTTAGGGTTGCCACCATCCTGAGGGGCCAGATTCTTGGGAGCTGACACCTTTATAAATCAGAAGCTCTCTGGTACCTCTACAGGTCCTTGGTTTGACTAATATATGATTGCAGTTGAGGACTGCAGTACAGCAGAGACCCTGTGCCAGTGACACTTGGGAGGCCAGAGATAACAAAGAGAGCACAGGAAGTCTGTCTTCTTCTATAAAACAGTCACCATAAAAGAATAAGCTAAACCCTAAGCTAAATTCAAAAGCCATTTAAGATTGTAACACAATCCTGGATGTGTCTGTTAGAATTATCAAGTAAATTGACTTGTTAATGACATAATAAATCTTGTTTCCTGCATTATTAAATTAAACACCACCTGTTGTAAAGAATATTTGCCCACCTACAAATAGGTATCTAAATAATAGACATTTACATAGGGATCAACTTTTATGAATTTTGGCTGTGTTAACATATCATAACATATCATAAAATCACAGAATTGTTAGGGTTGGAAAAGACCTTTATGATATCAAGTCCAACCGTTAACTTATGCACATATATATAATCACATATTTCCATTTTAAAAGCTGTAATTAAAGTGTAAATATTGTTGACTAATGTAGTTGGCTGTCAATATGCACTCGTTATGGAAAGTGTGACATATGCCATTTAATAAGAGAGCATAACATATTATTTATAATATAATTATGTAGGAATTTGGAGCTCAGCTTAAGACTTTTTTCTGTATCGTCGTGTACAGTTATAAATGTGTTGCTGTATAGCTTGATTTTCTGATCCTTGGAAGTCAAGGTGCCGCAGCTACACATAATTTCACATGAATTGATCTGATTCCGCTATGATGAAATACATTTTTCTAAGGAGAATTCCAGTTTTGCATCTCTCATGTAGGCAGGGTGAGGTTTTATCATATTCTGGTTATTCATTTTAAATGCTGATTTTTTTATTGAATGATACAATGACTACCTTATGCCATCTGGAAAACTAAACTGTCTTTAGAAAATTAAGTTTAGCTTGTCACTTAAGGAATGGTTTTATTTTTTGAGTGTGAGTTAGGACAGGGTGTGTTTTCGTTTGTTTTTAAGTGAAATGAATGTCCAGATAGAGGGCCACATTATCAAAAGTATGAACTAAATTACTCTTGGAATCTTATTTTATTTGTATTTGATAGAATGTGTCTTTGATGTCCTTATTTGCATAGATTAGCACTTTATTCCATAATTGGTGCCTTCATCTTAATAAGTAATTGGCTTTTCCTTCATTAGACTAAGAATTGCATAACTTACACGGAGTTCTGGATATAAGAGAGTGAACAGAAGTTCCTAATGCAGCAGACAGGCACAATCACAACCCTTACAAATGGGAGAGGTTAAGAAATATCACTGTGAAAATATTAGTGTATAAGAGGAAATTCCTGGCGTGGCCAAGGCTAACTAGACACAGTCGGTGGAAGGACTGGAAGGGATGCAGTGTGTCCTGCTGCAAATTATGAACTCATGCTACAGTCTGCAGGGTGGAGACAGCCATAACTTGATGTGCAGCATACTGCAATTGGTAGAAAGGCTATTAATTTTAGATACTGCAGCTGGAAAAAAAAGCATTTCCAATCACAAGAGAGCAAGGAACACTCTTCTGGTCCTGTAATGTTCGCTGTTCAGTCTGCATAGGAGTCTCTCAATGAAGGCTCCTAGTGTTGCAGCAGGAATGGCTTAAATTTGAGCAAGATCAAGCCATCTTTTTATTTATAGCTCGTGTGTGCAGTTTTATGTAATTTATAATAGAAGTGAGTGCTACTGAACACCCTAGCATATAAATTTCTACTAAGAAACCTTGGTGTTTGGTGTCAAATAAAGTACATTTACGTGATCAGAACTTTGTCAGTACTGCCAGTCATAGAATCATAGAACCTTAGAAAAATGTGGCTCAGAGGAAACTTCTGGAGATTCTCTCATCTAACTCCAAAGAGTTCCACCTTCAATGTCTAGGGTACTGTCCAATTAAGTTTTGAATACCTCCAGGGGCCACGATTCCACAGCCCCCTCAGGCACCTGTTTGAAAATGCTGTTTCCTGACCTTTAACTGGAATCCTCCCACACTGCAGCTGGTGTCCAGTGCCTCTTGTCCCATCCCTGGGCACTCTGAAAAGAGTCTGGTTCCACCTGCTCTTTGCAAGTCTGCACAAAATCCAGCAGCTTTGGAACAACTTTGGTCACAGTTTGTGACTGTGATGGGTCCTCTACTCTTCACACTGCGGGTTTTGAGTTCCAGCCACTCCTGCAGTGTGTCACAGATGTATTTCTAACATGTGCTGTTCTTACCCCCCTAATGCAAAGATGCTGTTGCTCTCTGTAATGGCAGCTCCAGGTATCTGAAAGGATGGTGTGCTGCCATCTTTTACTCCACAGGAAAAGACAGACCTCTGTTTTGCATGGCAGTATACTTACCCATTTTTGGTGAGTGCCACAACTAGAAGCTTCCTTTCTACTCCCCATTCTGCCCCAGAAAGGAAAAAAATTGACCCTGGTTTTATGTATAATCCATTTTCAAATTCTTTTTTAACTACAAATTTTCTTTCTGCTTTCTTGAATTTTTGACCAAACTGCAAAGTGGAAAAGACACTGTATCTTTTTTTTTTTTTTAATGGGTGATAAATGCACATTCATAGAACAAAGGGAAAGTAGGATGTACAAAATCTTTACATAGTAATATTATATCTATAATGCAAATATTTCTGCTTATTACCTGCTCTGAAACTCTTTTAAAAACAAAATAATCAAGTAGAATTTATTTCAGGTGAGGCTGTTTTAAAGATTGTCAAAAAACTGTACCATCTTTCTCTTACCAGTTCTCACTTATTTAATGAGCTAAACCCTAAACTGAGCATATGATGTATAGCAAAAAACTTGCAATAACTTAATTTACCAAATATTTATCTTACCAACAGTATAGATCATTCTCATAATTGCAGTAAGCACTGTAGCTGTACTAGTAATTAAAAATTGTGCAAACATACTAACACAGTCTAGCAAACTAAGGGTATTTCAAAATAGGGTTCTTAGTGTTGCTTGATTGGTATTTCCAGAGGAACACTCTGAAGTCAGATGCCACAACTGAGGAATTTTTAATGTTGAAGCAGAAGGTGACCCTCTGGGCTGCAAGTAAGAGACACCTGTGAGACAGAGAGACAAGCACGTGCTTCCATCACCCTTTTTTTTTTTTTTTAATCCACAAGAGTGGTTCTAGGAAAGTAGATTAGTCAGAATTGATGTAGCCAGGGACAGCAGAAAAGCTACTTTTCAGGGGGCTTTGTGAGACAGATCCAGCCACAGCACTTACACTGTTTTAACAACACGTCTTTTCCTGGATTCAGTTCCTGATTTACCTCTCACGTACAATCTTCCTGTGGAAGACCCTATTGATTGTAGCAGGAATGATAATCATGCTTCAGCATTTATAAGGATTAAAATCTATAAATTCTCTTCTCTCATCATGTATTCAATGGTCAGATGACATCAGAACCCAGTGACCTGGAACAGAAAAGCACAGAGGAAGACAAAAGTCTGTTCTCTGGGAAGGTCCATGCTCACTGTCATTTTTTCCTTTTTTTCTTTTTGTGTTTCTGAAGTTGCCCAGCATTACATGCTCTGAATTATCCTCTGGATCCACCTTTTGCTCTGTTCCAGAGCCTAGAAAGACCAGCCTCCTAACTTAACTTAGTTGCCTACATTTAAATTACCTGGTCATCCCACCACATATATATTTTTGATATTGAAGATCTCTATTCACTTTCAGCAATTCCCTGGGTGAGTACTTCTGGTATCCATAAGAAATTCTATATGATCCACCTCAATGTAACCTTTCTTCTTGGAGAACATAACAAGAGGTTTTTATGGCAACCAGGAAAGAGGGTATGTTATATACATATGTAACACCAGACATGGCAATGTTGGTTTAGAAGAAAAACCCTGTGAATGGCAGAGCTCACCTGAAGAGAGGTCGATGCTTCGTTCTTTAAACACTGGATCTGATCTTTCATATACTAAATATGTATTTTAATGCAGATGTGTAAGTCTAGGAAACAAAGACATGAAATATCAGACTGGGAAAGCAATGAAACCTTTACTTCTACCACTGGCACACACCTGATCTCACCCCTGTTTTTCCAAATTAGTCCTTCCTCATTTGATGATTGACCTCAGTGTGAATCAGGGCAATCTTACTGTGCCATTTCCCTGTTCTAAAGTTCCACCTCGACAATGCTCTTTGAACTGAAGCTTTGTGTGCACCAACACTGACATATCCTTTCCTCATCCTGCTCACACAAGTATTTAATCAGGTGGCATATTGCTCATAGCCAAACAAAAAGCTGGCACACTCAGTTCCTCTGTACAGACTTTGCTGTTCAAGCAGAGAACACCTGTCCTGTTGGCCGTGTTCATTGGAGGGTACTGAAAGACCAGAGAGACAAGCATATGTTTTTTTTATTCCAGTATCTGGATCTCATCTTATAATGGAAGCAAACACTGTCCTGAGAACACTGCCCACAGGCCAGTGGCTCTGGTCTGTGACATGTCCTGTGCCTGTAAGACACAACGCATGTGAAGCTCTTCTGTAATGCTCCAGATGTCTTTGGATGACCTTTTATTTTATTTTGAGGAACAGTTAACTCTTCTCGAAAAAAAAAACCCTAAATCAGTGAAATACATATGAGCAAAATCTATTTGTGAAAATGCTTGTTTAAAATTGGCTGAAACTTTTTGAAGTTTTGCAAAGTGTTTAATAGTTTAAAAGTGATATTCTACAGAAGTGAATGAATAAAACAGTAGCAGTTATAATGGATAATCCATTGATTTCCCTGAGAATGTTTATATGAGTCATTATACTCTTCTACAGGTACCTCTGTACCTAAGGGCTTTGAAGACTGCATGTATCTACAAAGTGTTATGGTCTACATCAGCAATTATTAAATTTATCTTAAATTTATTTGAGAAGCAGAAAAATGACTGTACAGTGTGTAGCCGTTTCCCATTTAAAACTTAGCTATAAACAAGCATTTTCACTGACACTGTGTATTTGTCCAGTACAAAGGAAACTTTTCTTTAATATTTCATGTATGTTACACAGACTGTCATCAGATAGTCATGGTCTTCTTGTTTTGCCAATTCACAAGTAAACTGACAAAGCTTACCCTTTTGATCAGCTGACCCTAATTAGCTTTAATTGCAGCCTTCCTCATCAGTTAGTCTTCAGGTGTAGCAATATATGACCAGCAGGGGAGGGAGGGGATTCTTCCCCTCTGCTCTGCTCTGGTGAGACCTCACCTGTAGTGCTGCCTCCAGCTCTGGGGTCCCCAGCACAGGGAGGACATGGACCTGTTGGAGTGAGTCCAGAGGAGGTCAGTAAGTTGATTAGAGGGATGAATCACCTCTGCTATGAAGAAAGGCTGAGAGAATTGGGATTGTTTAGCTTAGAAAAGAGATGATTTTGCCCACTCAATGTGGCCTTCCAGTACCTGAAGGGAGCCTACAAGAAAGATGGAGGGAGACTTTTGACAAGGACATGTAGTGACAGGACAAGGAGAATGGCTTTAACCTGAAAGAAAGTAGATTTAGCTTAGATATTAGGAAAAAATTCTTTACTGTGAGGGTGGTGAGCCAGTGGAACAGGTGGCTGAGGGAAGCTGTGGATGCTCCATCCCTGGAATCTTTCAAGGTCAGGTTAGATGGAGCTCTGAGCAAGCTGGTCTAGTGCAAGGTGTTCCTGCTTATGGCAGGAGGTTTGGAACTAGATGATCCTTCAGGTCCCTTCCAGCCCAGGCCACTCTATTATTCTATAGTATTTATCTGCAGGGCAGATTGTGAGTACAAGGGGACATCGTTCCCTGATTTGCATAAAGAGGCTTTGGAGTTTTCATCTTGGCTTTGTATGGAATACCAATAATTCTCCCAGACACCTAAAAAAAAACCAGTGTCACGTTTGGCGATGGTAAAATAGTTGTCACTGATTGCACACAAGAATCAAGGAAGAATTAACTTGCGGACCATTTTTTATGTGTGTGCGTGGAGGGGGGGGAGCCGTGTACATTTTGCAGAAATACCGTTCGGATCTTTTGCGCGGAGAACTTATTAAAAGAATAAATCTCTATTATATGCAAAATTAAGGGGAAAAGAAAGAAAGAAAGCAAGCAAGCAGGACGAGGGGAAAGCTCAGAGCCCCCAGAGCCGCCGCACAAAAGGCAGCGCCGGGCGCGGGGGGGCGGCCGCTGCCCCCGCCGTACAGTAGGGGGCGCTCGGGCCCTTCACCGAGCGGCGCTGCCGCGGCCCGGGCACGGCGGGACAGCGCGGGGCTGCTGTGACACCGCGGGGCTGTGTGTCCCCTCGCGGGGCTGCTGTGACACCGCGGGGGCGTGTGTGCCTTCACGGGGCTGTGTGTGCCTCAAGGGGCTGCTGTGAACCGTGGGGGGCGTGTGTCCTCGCGGGGCTGCTGTGACACGCTGCTGTGTCCGCCTCGCGGGCTACTGTGACACCGTGGAGCGTGTGTCCCCTCGCGGGGCTGGTGTGACACCGCGGGGGCGTGTGTCCCCTCGCGGGGCCGCGTGTGACACGGTGGGGAGGTGTGCCCTCTCACGGGTGTGGGTGTGTGTGTCCCCTCAGGGGGCGGCTGTGTCCCTTCAGAGGGGGTAGGTGTCCCCTGACGGGCAGCTGTGCCCCCTTAACGGCGTGTCTGTGTCCCTTCACGAGGTGTCTGTAGCTGTGCCCCCCTCACGGGGTGTCTGTGCCCCCCTCACGGGGTGTTTGTTTGTGCCCCCATCACGGGGCGCCTCTGCTCCCCCTCACCGGGTGTCTCTGTCTCCCTCTCGGGCTGTCTCTGCCCCTCTCCCGCACCGGGCGCCGTTAAATTCCCCTTTCTCCGTGTTGCTCCTTCCCTCGTGTCCCTCCCCTCTTTCTGCTCTGGTGGTTCGGGGTTTGTTCTGAGCGTGTGGGGGAGAGGGGCTGTTCTCCCTGGTTACTGCGGGGTGAGGCGGCCCCTTCTCCCATCTCCCTCACCGCCGCCTCCAGGGAACACGAAACTTTCGCTGGCGGGAGCTCCGCTGCATGCAAGGGACGGGAGGCTGGAGGCTCTGGGTTTTTCGGCGGAGCCCGCCGGTCCCACAGGCTCTGTGGGACACAGGCGGTCTTCTGTTTTGTGTTTTATTTTATTTGCCACCTTTTCCACAGAGCGGGCCAGCGGAGAAATCCCTGGGGAATACGCTTTCGAGGGTCTCACTCTCGAGCGCCCGCGTTACGCGTGCGAGAGGGGAAAATGAATAATTAGAGAACAGTTCCATGAAATCACTTACCGAAAAATTAGCTGCCCATTAAAGGGGAAGCGCTGAGGAGCAATCATGTAAATCCCACCTACATACACCCAACTGTGGAGGGGAGACAGCGAGCCTGACTCCCAGCCCTAGGGCTGCCGGCTGGCATCGCCGTCCCCGTCTCCCTACCCCGGGAGGAGAGAGAGAGGGACGCGTGGGTGTGGAGCGCAGTGGTTTAGTCCACACCCCGCAGCCTCCCTTCCCCAGGCAGCCTCGGGAGCCGCGCTCATTCTCCTCCCTCTCGCTGCCAGCCGGTGTGTCCGCGGCGGCAGGAGGCGGAGGCGGCGGGAGAGGAGGGGAGGAGACAGGAGAGGAGGCGGCGAGAGGAGCGGCGGAACCGCCGGGGCGCGCCCGGATAGAGTGTTGGCGGGGGAGCGCCCCGCCTCCCCGCTCCCCGCCGCCCAACCGCTGCGGCACAAGCAGCGGCACGCGCGGGGTCCTGCCTCAACAGTTTCCCGGTCGCTTGAGGAGGAGGGAGGTGGTTAGGGGACACGGCTTTTGCTTTTTTTTTTTTCCATTTTTTTTCTTTTTTTTTTTTTTTTTGAGGGGATGCTGAGAAAGCAAGCCGTTCCCCTCCCGTGTAGCACATTGCCTGGGCGTTCCTATTATGGAAGTTAAGTGAGAAACTCTGCAGCTTGAACTGATTTGGGGAGAGAAAGGGAGAGAAAAGGGTAGGGGGAGGGCGAGAGGAAAGCAAGATAGCCGAACCAAGCCAATGGTTTTCCTGCAAAGTGCCGGGAAGTTTGTGGAGCACTTTCTAGGAATCAGGTCCTTTCTCAGAGTCTCTCCTTGTCTTCCGAAGAAAGAGCTTGCTTTTGGATTGCCATGGATCCTAAAGAGAGTCTTAGACACACTTGAATAATTCCTCTGCTCGGGCTGGATTGGTGGGAATTTAGGAAGGAGCGTGTGTGCAAAGCAGAAGCCTCCGGAGCTCACTCGCTGCTCTAATCTGTATGGATCTAAAAGTGTCACATTCAAGACCTTTGCATCAGCAGCTTTTGATTTCAAGATTTCCCTTTCCACTTTAAGTAGCTGCTAGGAAACTGCAAACTTTTGGACCTACCTCTTACTGGCTTTGGATTTTTTTTTTTCTTTCTTTTTTTTTTTTTTTGTTTTTTGATCTCTGTGGAATTAGTCTCGCAAGCAATCGGGATTGCTTTTACTATGTCAAAATGGGTCTGCTGACGCCACTCCTGCTCTTCGGATTTGCATTTTTTCAAGTCTATGGTAAGTTCTCTTATTTTAGACATGTCATTTCTGTGCAGAAATCCCCTTCATCTGAATCTGATTTTGGACAGCACATGGACGGCATTATAAGCTTTAACGCTACAGAGCCTTAAGTTTGTCCCTGATATAAAAATGGTATTTGGGGAGGGAGGGGTCAGAAGAGGGAGAATATATGTTTTCAATAAGCAGTCCTTCCCGTCTGCTAACTTAATGGGAAAGCAGCTTATGAATGGAAGAATGTCAGCTTGAGGTGGCGAGGAGAGAGTAAAAACTACCGTGTTAAATCTTTTATTGGGGGGGGGTGGGAAGCGGGAACGCGAAAGGAAAGGCAGGGAGCTGTCGTAGCTGGTATTACTTTGCCGCCTTCTATTGTTAAACTTTTCCACCGGGAGAGCCAGCTGATGAAATAAATAGGTTAGCCCTGCCTCGGCTCCAGGTGAGGCGAACTGGCGGATTTCCAGAGTCCCTCAACGCCTGGTTCGGCGCTGGCGAGCGGCAGGAAGGGAAGGAGGGAGGGAGGGAGGGAGGCGGGCTGGGGGCGCGGGGCGGCGGCAGCGCGGCACGACCACCCCCCTCCACCCCCGCCGTGCCGGGCAGGTGGGGCGGGGGGTCTTCCCACCGTGTTCCCCCTCGTTCCGGGCTTTCCAGAGGGAGTGTTTTCATGAAGCTCAGCAGCCTCTGGGGAAAGAGTGGGTTTCCTCACGCCCCCCCTCCCTCCCCCTTTGGGTCTGCTCTGCAGCGTTTCTTGCGGTTTTCGAGTTTAAGTAACGGCTGGGGAGCTGTAAATGATCATCATCTCGGGGAAGTACGGTTTAGCAGGGCGAGAACTTCAGTGCAAGGGTAAATTGCCTTTCAAAGTAGGGGTGGGCGCTGTGCTGCCGCGCAGACGGTGGATGCGCTGCAGCAGTTCAAGCACAAGACTAGGAGCGAGCATCCAATTCTCCAGGAGCCTGTGCTGGCAGCAGTGCTCCTAGGATTGAGTATTTGCAACTCTAAGCAGTCCTTTAGACTTGAGGTGAATTTAATGACTGGGACCCTGGCTGGTTTTGCATGTCTGTCAGAGAAAACTTTGTCTCAGGAAGCTGCTCCCAGCATTTACTGTACAGCCCCCAGGCGAGGGCTCTGGGTTTATTGTTTGCAGTCACAGGCAGCTTTGGGTGGTTCTCCACCACCCCCTAGCAAGAAAGGAGGCAGAATAGGTGAGAAGAAGGAGACATTCAAGTACAGTTTTACATTGGTTCCGTAATATGCTCTGCAGTTTAATGTTCAGTAAGGAAATTTCTGTGTAATTTGTGTACGTGCTACACAGTTGGAAGTTCTAACTGTGAAAGGGTTTAATAGAACATTTGTGGCAATCAGTGTGGTCATAGTTTTATGTTTACTCTGTTTTTCTTGCTGTAACATAAGATCCTTAACTTTACGGCCACCGATATGGGAGATAGCTTTGTATACAAACTGCAAACATCAGGCTGTAGAAATGTAATTATTAGTAAGTGTTTAAAATTGTATGTAGCTAGAAGGAATACAATTAAAGTGCTCAGTGGAAGTGACAGAGTGAATCAGAGGAGCTTGGTGTTACAGAATGTAATTAATGTACCAGGCTGTTTGGAGATATATGAAACAAATGCAATTAACCAGCTTGCTGGAACAACAGGAGCAAGACATAATTTATTCGAGTTTTTTCATGGGGAACACAAGTAGAACCTTTGTTCTGGTTTAGCCTTATAGGATGGGGGGGACACACACAGGTGAAGCAGGCAGCTAATTTAGAGCTGGACCATTAGATAAAAAAATGCCAAGCAGCTGCCTGGAATAGATGTGATCCTCCCCTTTTGTGGGAAGATATTGCAAGAGACTGTCAAGTTTGCCTACATTAACAACTCTCTGAAATAAATAAATAAAGAGCCTTGTGGATAGCACATCATGACCAAGTAGAGATAAGCTGTTATTGTCGAAATGACTAACAAGTAGCTTTGAAGAAATACTGGCAGGCAAGCTTGGCAAGCAGTGCTTTTGTCTCTTTAGAAGCATAGTAATTACGATCACATCTTAGGGTGACATATACCACTAGTTGCTTTGAAAAGATCTATATCAACATTAGCACGATTTGTAATGCTTTAGTTTAAGAAAAAAAAAAAGCCCAAACTTAAGAGACGACTTGTTTAAGAGCTCCTTGGTTTGTTTTCTGTGTTTGAAAGTTACCTTTTAGTGCCTTTCTGCTTTTTACAGATTTTTGTTGTTGGGTTTGGTTATTTTTTTTATTTGATCCCTTGGCATGAGGTCCAGACACAGGCACTGTAGCATTTGAGGCGTGTTGACCATGCTTTTCCTTGTGAAGTTAGTTTTGTTTACTGATATGGGTCAAAATGATAATATTTTCCTTCTGCAGTTATTTTCGCTGCCAATCCTCTTATGACACCTGAAAATTGCAAAGCTCAATGAAAGTGGCAGAAAATATGTGATACTTACATACACATATGTAGATTTTATTTGGTTTATTATTGTGCTTTTGATTTTCCTGCAATGCTGCCCATGTTCCTGCTGTCTGTTCAGGGAACAATTTTAATTTTCTTTTATTGGAGCTATCAATCTTGGTTGCAGTTCTTGGGAGAAAAAAACCCAAACAAAAAAATCAAACACATCAAAAAACCCCAAACAACAAAACACCCCAAAACCCCCCAAAACAGTAAAACACCCCACTGATAGATTCTGTACCACCAAATGGAATGGAGTTAAAAGACTCCATGGGTTATTTTTTTACTAGTGTTCAGTTGATTCTTCTTTCATTGTTGTGTGTTTTGGTTATCTTTCTTCCAATCATTAATAAAACTTAAAAGGAAAAGTATTAACAAAGTTCACAACTTCTGTGAGCACAGGTTTTAGTGGGACAAATTCTGCCTTGGTAGGACTCAGAAGTGCTTTCAATGAAAATGATAACCTTTTATGTCAGAGCTGGCTTTTAGCCATAGTCCCTTGAAAACTGCAGGTGTGATACTCTTGGATGGGTGATGGTGTTAAAGATACATGAGAATAATTCTGTAAAACCAGCATTTTATCTCCATATTAATATATATCAAAAGTACATATTTTCTTACTGAAAAGTATGCATTTGAGATGGTAGAGTGGCTAAAGCATCCTGTATTTATTTATCTTTTTTTTTTTTTAATTTATTTCTTCATGCCAATGAGCTACACATCTGTGGCCTTGTGCTGGTCCCTTTTGCCTGTTGGAGAACATGGCTTACATATAAAGCTAGAGTATATTCTTCCAGTGGGTATTTGAGCTGACAGGGTCCTGATCTCTCATGTGAGTTTTGCTGTTGATGGATAACCTTTGCTTCTGTGGAATGTGTGCATTTTAATGCATTGAGAGGAAAATTCTGAAGTGGAGAGTTTGCAGCTTTATTTCCTTGAGCTTGTTCTTCCATAAGATCCAATTCTGCAGAGTATTTGTTTCCATATCCCATCCATAATCTCACTGAAATTAATAAGAATTTAAACATGTGTTCCAAGTTAATCATATGTTTTAAAACTTTGCTGAGTAGGGATGACTTTATGCCCATAATGAATAACTTTGCTGAATTAGTCTTAAGATTTTGCTTTCTTTACTTCCTGTCTGGTAAGTTGTTATTGCAACAACATATATTTATGTGCTGAAGATAGGCAATGTACTTTCAGAGATGGGTATGTTTGAGAACTATTGTGAAAATCCAAATAATTTGGTTTGTGTCTTTGCTAATTTGTAACTCTGCAAGAGGTCTGATACCCCACAAATCTTTCAGAAACATTGGACATGGGGAATTTAAAACTTTTGTGTGAGTTGCACTTACTATGGTAGTCCTTCCCTTAGGAACTTTCTGCGATGATGAGA